GAATTTTAGATTAAAAAATTGCTAAATTAATGGGACAATGGAGATACTTTAACTGAACGATGACAGTAATATTGTAAGCTACTTGCTAAAGTTTTTGTGGTTGGTCTTTATAAAACTAATGAAACGTTTTTTCTTTTGAAGAAAATAAAACTAATGTAACTTAAATTAGAATAACAAGCGATTTTCTATGTGGACTAAAATTTTAATTTCATGACCACGATAGTTTCTCGTGTTTGACATCAACCCACAAAAATATTTGAAAATAGTATTTTCAAAATATTCCTAATTTTTTAGTAATAAAAGCAAAGACCAATAATAATGTAATACATATATATATATTTATTTATATGTATATTTATATAAACAAGTAGAGGTGTGTACAAGCAGAAAAGTTTAGGTAAGATGTTACATTATAAATGCGACAATTTATATTCCTTTGACTAAAATAAAATATTCTTGTTTTACCAATATGCTTTCCCAATTATGCATACGTATTGATGTGAAAGGCCATTTTAATATATTATAACCAATAAAATATTTTTGTGAAGAAATTTGCTGTATGAAGGCAAAACACCCAACAAAGACTATTGTATTAGTATATTATGATTAATTGGAATTAATTAATTTAAATGATGCTTCTAAATCAAAGGCGAATATCATATATTAACGTTAATTACATGGAGAGTGATTAATTAATTTATTATGCTTTTCCATATATAACGGACTAAGGAAATTAATTAAAAATCTAAAATAGCAGCACTAATATTTTTTTTTATGGATTCTTAATTGTGTTATAAGAAATTAATAATATCTTAATGCCATTTTTAATCCACGATGAGTGATGGTATGCATATATATATATAAAAAAACAAAGGAAAAATGGGAAAAGAGAGGGACAAATATGATGATATATCAATATGGTAGTGAAGTCAAGGAGAAATAAATTAATTAAAAGGAAGAAAAGAAAAAGAGCAATGAATACGAGTCCCTTCATGCTACTGCCATAAGAAATAATGACTCAAATCCAATCATAATTTTAAGTAGTGAGCTGACCAAAAACGCAATTCAACAAATTAAGTTACATATAATATATATATATGAGATTAATGAAACAAACATTGTATCTTTTCTCTCAAATCAATGCGTGTATATATATATATATATACATATAATTTAAATTAATACATTAATAAAATATATCCCCTCCCTAAAGGTCAAATAAAAAAAAGGGAAAATGTCAATGGTGAATGCCCAAAGAATATCCTGAAATTAAGATTTATATACATCTAGCTAGGCCCCATCGGTACCGGTGAGGCAATGAGTTTGCAGTGATTGATGACCAGCATGACTAATTGCACCAAAACATCAGTCTACGTCTATCTACTACATTATATATAAATATACATAATATATTATATTCTAAGCAAGCTATCATCATTAATTCGGTTTAATACATTTGCATGGCATTATATTTAGCTAGCTAGTACCATGCATTAATTTATTAAAGTTTTAGATGAGAATTGAGAGAGAATACCTTCACCTACCAAATTAAACAACTTATGAGCTCAGAATATGTATATATGAAACTCATATTGGAGAAGCTTCCTGGAAACTTACTTGAAAAAACAATTGGTTTTTCTATTTTAATTATTATTTAAAGCTCAAGTGGCATGCGTGGATTGAGCTGATTATGATCGTATGGTTATTCGTGTCATGCATGAACTAAGACGGATCCATAGATATTAAATCTAATTAATTAATTACTTACTAGTATCGGAGTTAGAGGCATACATAAAAGGACAGACATCCTTATTCTCAAACCATGACAGATCCGCATTAATAGGTTCACTTATTCTCATGCAAACTGTTTTTTTAATTTTTAATTTATCAAATTATTTATTAAATTTAAAAAATATTATTTTTTAAAATTTTCTCAAACTCACCATTTTTAACAATCTAATCAATTTCCATGCTATTTTAATTAATATTTAATTATTATCCTCATGCAAACTTAAGCTATATATGTGTATATATATACACAGAAGAATAAAGATAAAAAAATAAAAAAAAAAAGTATCGGGGAGTTGACTTCACAGGCTACACGCTGCAGTACAGAATCTTTTCAGGTTACATTACACCTTAATTTGTTTTCAATTGCCCTCTCAAGCTGTTGAATTAATTACTACTCCAATGTAGACCGACGGTCATGATTTTATATACTATAATATATACCAAATAATAAAGTTTTTATTCCTTTCTGATTAATTTGCATGGTAAACGTAAAAACTAAAAACCTCACGTGACTCTTGCTAGTTGACAAATTAGATTACCACTGAAAAAGGATCCAAGCTGCTAGGGTTGTTTAGGAGTTCCTTCACGGAAGCCAGCTTGCTCTTTTGGACTGTCCCTCACTTTTCTAATTTGCAAATACCAAATAGTATTGTCGCTCATTTATTACCACCAATTTTTAAAACTTTCATTTTTGTTTCCATTATTGTGTTAAACAACAAGAAAACAAAAAACTATTTGATAGTTATTTGATAGTTGGGATCTCAGGGCATGCAGAAGCTAGTAACTATTAATTACACACAGGGTTAGATTTGTGTTTCTATATATGCTGTGCTAGTTATATATATATGCACATTTGAAATCCTGTGTATTAATTCAACAATTACTTTACTAAATATTGTTTCCAAAAACTAGAAAATTTAGGACTGATAGTAACAAATTTGTTGTGAAAATTCTAGGAAAGTAAGAGTACCCAAAAGTTGTGTGTTGGCAAGATCCCTGTGAATGATGGGAACCCTGGATTGTTATATACTCCATTCCAGTAAGTATTATATAGGTCCATGTCAGTAACACGTGGGAGGAATGAAAAAGTTCCCGGCTAAACGGTAAATCTACCTTCTTATTCAAAGCATTACATGCCTCTTATTTATGCATTCTTACATTCTTTTTCTTCTTTCCTTTTTGCCTTTTAATTTGTATAAATTAAAAGGTTTTTTTTTTTTTTTTGGTGAAGGTTGGTTGTTGCTGTTGCTGGGGGCTTGGATTTGAGGCTTTAAGCTTGAAGGTTTCATAATCTTCATCATCTTTAATGCAGTCACTATTGCTATGGTTTTATATGATCAATCCTTAAAGTAATGGGACGATGGTCTTATATATGTAATGAACAAAGACTTGGAAGTGGAAGTGGCAATAAATTTTATAGGTCGATAGTGTATGGATCTTAGCCTTTGAACAAATTAATGCTGTCTTTGCTTTCTTCCTATTCAATAGGAAAGAATCTCCATATATATATATATATGTGTGTGTGTGTGTGTGTGTGTATGTAGAACAACCAAAATACTAGGCACATCAAGACCTTTGTTGGCAAAACTGGTCAAAGTTTTCCCCTTTTGTTGGATTATCTATACGCAGGATTCGTCCTACTTTAATTTTCTAATATTGCAAATTAGTAATAAGTATTGCTTGTTAATCATGTTAGATAAACCAAGGAATTCTTCATCTTTTTTTTTTGTCTTAAATTCTTCCATTGATTCTGTTAGTACATTAAATTCTTCAATAACTGTGGAAGCCACATTTAAATAATGCTATTTTTTTTCATATAGTATAGATGGAGATGATCCATGAAAAAATGTAGGAAAAAGCTTGATTTGAAATCAAGATATCTATATAAAGATTAAAAAAAGGGAAAAGAAACTCTAGTCTGTATTTGTAATCTTTTGATAGAAGAATATATAGATTTAGGAATACAACTGAAGTGTTTAAATTTCTTATTGTGATCATTTGTAGGAGATTCCATCGAACTAAATTTAATTTTAGAAGAAAATTTTAGTTATTTTTTATTTGGTTTCACAATCACCCTTTATTAATTTTTGAAACAAGCAGGGTGAATGCCCTAAATATAGTATACTCCGATCCCTTTCACTTCCCCGAGGCCAAGGGTCCGTGATTCCCGTTGGAAAGGCAATTTCATAATCTTCTTTTGTGTTTGGGTCTGCATCAGCCACAGCTTAGCATCACATTAGCACACACATGCATCAGACCCGTCAAACCGGCCCCCTCAACGTGTGTCACTGCTCACTCCTTCAACTTTTATTTGCTCGTGCATTTCTTAAATTAATTATCCTCCAACCCCTCAAAATCCTCACATCAGGTTGGACCTTTTTGCAAGCTGAAGATGTTTCACAAAGTACATTTTCTCACCTGTTTTTGACGTTTATTTAATTATATATGACATTTTCTCACCTGTTTTTGACGTTTATTTAATTATATATGACAACTTTAATTTCATTGTTGCTGCTTAACTTAATTTTAGTCTGAGAAATTTTTTGCATTTAGCTTATTATAAATGATTCCATATATAGGGAAATTCTTGAAAGTATTATTAATTTGTCAACTCCAGGGAGAATTATACTCATGGAATAATATATAAACAAATAAAGGGTTTTCTTTTTAGGTTGGGTAGGGGACAATTTCAACCATGCCACCATGAATTACACGAAAGTCTTTCTTTCATTTAGCCAAGTGACAAAACAATAAGAACAAAAGTCCACTTTGAACTAAGTAGAGTTCAATTTAGATTCCGTGAAAACAAGTTTAAAATTGATAAAAGAATAGTAGTGATAATTTTTTTAATCTTTTTTAAAATTATAAGATGGGTATCTATAATTTTTTTATTGGTATCATGCCAACTTACTAAGACATCCCTGGTTTCATACTCAATGAATTTGATATATCTTTCAAACTCTTAAATATTAGTACTACTAGTATTTTAAATTTAATTAAGTAATTTCTAGTAGAGTTAAATCCTGGAAGAAACCCACATGAGCCGAATATACATGTATAATGTGTTGGTCCATATATATATGCACTGTCTATATATATATATATATATACTTCATTGCATGACTTGACATCCATATATATGCATGAATGTGTTGAGTGGCATGGATGATAAAACATATTTCTAATATATACATAAGGATACGAGTAAATATTATTGTTTACTAGTCCCAATTACGAGAGAGAGAAGGAGAGAAGAAACAGGTTAATTTGTCTGTCTTCCCTGTCAAGATCTAGGGGTTTTCCATATCCTCCGCCCTGTTCAAAGATCTGTAACCTTGCTTAGTGGTCGGTGCTTCCGTTCACCTAGTTTTCTCTCTGTCCTGCCCATAGAAGAAGATAAAATAAGCTTATTTTGATCAACCAAGAAAGCTGCACCCTACTTCCTTGCTTCTGCAAATTAGTAGTATGACTAAATTTTAAGTCTCCATGTTCATTAATCATAACCCTGTGTATATAAATGTTGTCCCTTATTTTATGCTATGATTCCTAGAATTGGACGATAGAAAGAAGAAGCCTGCTTGCTGGGAAAGATGGAGGGAAATAGCGGCATCAAATGTTCAAAGCCAAGCCCATCTAAACAAAGCCAAGCTGAGAGTGAAAGTGAAGAAAATGATGGTGAAAGTAAGCCTGGAAATGGAAGAAGCTCAAGCAACAGCACGGTAGAAGAGAATGAGAAGAAGCCATCTGTCAGGCCTTATGTCAGATCCAAGATGCCAAGACTCCGGTGGACACCTGATCTTCACCTTCGTTTCGTTCATGCAGTTGAGAGATTAGGTGGACAAGACAGTGAGTTCATTTCTTCCCTTACCAATATCTGGTCTGATCTAATTTGGTTGTAATTATAACTAAGAAAAAAACATCATCTAACTTAGCGAACTCTCTTGGTACAGGAGCTACCCCAAAGTTGGTTCTTCAACTGATGAATATAAAAGGACTTAGCATCGCCCATGTCAAGAGCCATCTACAGGTTGTTAATTTGACTATAAAAACTTGCAAATTAGCTAATAATTTCTCATTTCATATTCATTAATATAATGAAATTATTTGATTTTTGTTGATAATTAATATTTCCTTCGCCTTTCGGTATTTCCCATCAGATGTATAGAAGCAAGAAGATTGATGATCAAGGACAAGGTATGTACTTCAATTTCTCCATCTTAATTCCTTTTTCCACTGAATTAATATTAGGGTTTCGATCAATGGTCGCCCTAATGCATTCAAGTTACCTTTACATGACAGTCATAAGCGATCATAGGCATCTTGTGGAAAGTGGAGATAGAAATATTTACAACCTCAGCCAAGTACTTCCCATGTTGCAAGGATATAATAATCATCATCAAGGCAATAGTTCTAGTAGTTTCAGGTACCAAAATTAACAATCACTATTCAATCTTTTACATTTCTTAAATGTTCGTACTAGTCTATTTCAAATATGGAATTAATTCTACTCAAAATTCCAATATATTTTCAAGATACGGAGATGCTTCCTGGAATGGCCTCGAGTGCTTGATGCGTAATCCTTATACAAGCAGAAGTTTCATTGATGAACAAAGACTAGGATTGCATGGAACAGTAACACAGAGGATCGTTGGCAGTAACAATATCAATTGGACCAATTACACTTGCAGGATGGGCGCTTCCCCTTTCAATGCACTACCTAGCTGGAAAAGCCATGAAGTGAAGAATGAATTTTTAACATCTCACAATCTTGAATCGTACCAAACCAAGCCAAGATTAGGCCAAATTGAGCTCAACCCCGTAAGTCCAACGCAAGCTAAGGTAGAAGATCAAACGAATTTCAGCACAAGTGGCCCTTCTGATTTAAACAAAACTAATGCACAAGACTTTGAGGCAATGAAAAGAAAGAGTTCAGATTGCAACCTTGACTTGGATCTATCTCTACGGCTAACGCAGGTGAACGAGGAAAGCCAGAGAAGTTCCAAGGAAGACGATGTTGGCAGTGAGTTATCTCTGTCATTGTACTCACCATCATCCTCAAAGCTTAGTAGATTGAAAGGAGATCATAGAAAGGAGAGTGCAAGAAGGGTGAGTACTCTAGATCTGACTATATGAATGGGACAATTCTAAGTGAGATCTTGAGGTACTTATCCTAGAGGAAGGTTTTTCTCATTTCTTGCACCAATATTACACCAATTGATAATAAACTTTTGTTTTTATAATGATATATTCTCTGTTGTTTCTTATGCATTATCTACCTCTATCAAATTTGAATTTAGAACTCGAAAGACGTCCTACAATTCCAGCTTCATATTCTTGCTGACAAAAGAAGAAGACTGTCATGTCCTTGTTGGGCAAGAAATTGGGGCAGAAGTGTCCTATATATATATATATATATTTATAATGTTTTCACAAAATGTTGCATGAACTCCTTCATATTGATATTCCATCGGGATAGAAGAAAACCTTCTTTATATGTATATAAAGCTCGCGGGAAGCTTCATTCATCCACTTATGGCCTTAAACAGAATTCAGATGATTCAAGAGCTTGCTATTGATTCGTTTATATGATATTATTTTAAAGTTTATTGTCCAGGGAACTGTGATGGACCTATACTTTGAAAATAGAAAGGAAACTAACTAGCATCTTTGTAAATATTAATCTAACAGGTCTGGGTCTTGAGAGATTTTGATTTTAATATAATTGGATCTTGCAATCTAAACATATAGCTGTATTGTTTCTAAATGCCTTCTTGCATCAGGAAATAGGTGAGGGCAAGCATGTCTCTCTCGTCCTTCAACGCTTGAAATTCATCTGCAACCAAAAGTAGGCTTAGTTACTCAATTGCTAATTTCTTGTCTTCAAATTAATAAAAAAAAAAAAAGAAGAAAGTTGCTAATTCACCTTCTTTCTTTGCCTTTTCTTTCTCAAGAGTTTCCATCCTCTGTTTCAAGGCATTGTTTTCTTTTTGCAATATCATGCGTTGAACTTCATAGAAACCAACCTGTGAAGCTATCGACGATACTCTGGCCTGCAAGTGTCACCCAGAAAAAAGATGTTATAAAGAGAAAGAGGGAGTTTATAATGTCTTTGGTATTAAGATTACTGAATTTTTAATCTGTTAGGAAAACATGATAACATTGATAAAGGAATTCAACTACCTGTTCAGTATTTATATCTTGTTCGAGTTTTTCTATGTATTCCAGCTTCCTCAGCCGCGATTTATGAGCTGAAACTCTGTTCGCAAGCAGTCTACAGAACAAATAAAAGAGTGTTAGAAGAAAGCATTTAGCTATATAAATGCGTTATACTTGTTGGGGTATACTAATTTTTTTCGTTAAAAAATTCTGTTCATTGATAAATAAAAAAATATTATATAGTATAATAAGCAAGTCCACCGTTTGATCTTCTTGGGGTCCATGTTAGGGTCAAAGTTCCGACACCATTTCTGAGGTTCAGTTTGGGGATGAGTCTCTGTTATGAGAGATGAATCCGATAATGAATCCTCAGATTCTTTGATATTGTGATCGATAGCCTTTTTATCACCATCACCTCCTTTGAGTTTCAAGCACCCTTCCGCACCATTGGAGCTCTGAAAAGATCCTGGTACAACCAAATAAGGCTTGTTCACAAAGGCGAAGGAATCACTAGCAGACCTTTGGTGCAATGAGGCCCTGCGGGGTTCAGGGGCCTGGACTGACGACGTCAACTCCACAATGTCAAGGGAAGAAGATGCGTAGCTTCTATCGGGGTCCATCACATGATCAGGATTTGCAGAAGTGTCATACTTGGGAGGCATAGTGAAATATATATTTCTTGAGCAATACGATACCTACAAGGCAAAAGTTACAGTACATATGTCATTAAGCACAAAAGCAAGCAAAATAAATCCCAAAAATAAAAAAGTGAAAGCCATAAAAATCTGAAAGGTAGCCAGCCACACACTTAATTTTAAGTCTACTCACTTAAAAAGACTTTGAAGTTCTAAGGCTGGTTCTATAATCTTTCCGGTTTATATGCTTTGACATGACTACATATTATGGTTAATTTCTCTATAACTGGTAAGGCATTAATAAGAAAAGTCTTTTATGAGTGGAACCTATATAAATGGTAAGTCTATCTCTATAGCAAGCTGAGACAACTTGACTAAATAAATGTATCCTCTTCAATGCAGGTGTGTGTTTTGGTAAGGCAAACTCATTCTTATAGGTTTGTTAAACTTATAATAAAAAAATATATTATTTCCAGCGCAGATACATGCATGTGTCCTGGGTTTTATTTTCTTTTTGATTCTTTTTAAGAAAATCTAAAAAAAAAAAAGAAAAAAAAAAAGGAGATTCTTCAATCTTTTTAAGAAGGAGCGAAATCGCTAAATGTGAGTTGTGAAACACATGAATATGTATTATGCTTCCATATATATGTTACTCATGCGTTAATTGTGGACCTTAACAAGTGTATATAGGCGCTCTTTAACATTTTCCTATTCTAAATTTCATTCCAATTAAAATGCCTAACTTGGCTGATTAAATTATATATGTTGTTTTGGTACCAAATTACATACTAATTAAATTATACAATATTAAAAAGAAGCAAAGCAAAGAAAGAAGAGAAATGGAAAGACATGGCAAAGAATAAAGGGTCTGGCAGTGTATGAACCCAAATCCTAAATGGCCCATGTAGGTCTGGAAATTGCGATGATAGCGTTATTAATCGGCAAAGCCAACTGAGCCTTCATTAGTAAATTAAACTTTTAAGAAATGAAATATTTGAGCCTCATCAGATTTATATACCATTAAAGTTTTCTAATTGAGATGAATTTTCTTGCAATATTTTTATTTAAATCTAAATTTAATTTCAAATCTCAATATTATAGCTCATGTGAGAATTGCCCAAGTTAACGAAAATGAATAAAAATGTAATCCACCGTGGGAGGCTAGGCCGCTGTCAATTTGCTCGATCGTCAAAATGTACAATTTTCTTTCTTACTAAAAATGAAAATGATGCGTGTACCAACAACCGAAACTTTTTTCCAACCACAATACCAATACTAAACTAGTCCTCTTCACCTAATTATCTATTTTTATGATGGTGTTATCTTTTATTATTTTGCTAAACTTGACCATATACATTTTCAAACATTGGACGATAATTAAATGGCAACCACACATAAATTTGGATTAACACAAATTGCATTACAAAATATAGTTGAATCAAATTCAAATTAGAGCTCATTTTTAAGTTAAAATAATTAACTTCATAAAATAGGGATTCATAAGAACAAAACAAAAGCATTTTGCGATGCTCTCTTACTTCCTTCCAGAAAATCAGTTTCACTAAGTACTGAAGAAAATTAAACATTAAATTACAAGAAAACTATTTTGATATTTGCATATCATGGCAATGAAGTCAAATTAATCTCAAACTAAACCGAGTATTATCTCTTTTTTTTTTTTTTTTTTTAATTTTGAGCTCAGATTGTTCACATAACAAGTCTTAATATTTAATAACTTGATCTTTTTCCAGTAAAAATTTATGTTAATTGTATATGTTTACATAGGGAAATTTAGTTTAAGTCAACCCTATATGATCAAATAAAAATCCCCTTAAATATTCATAACTATAGCTTGGCTAGTAGTTGTAGCGATGTTCTTTTTAAAATTATTATTATTTAAAAGGACGATCATGATGCCCAGTATATCCTGGTTAAAAGAAACAAGTGGACAACAAAGAGTACAATGAAAAACCGAAGTACCATCTTAAATTATCAACAACAGTCCAAGAAATATTATAAAAATATCTTCCAATACAACCAAATCTCGTGGTGCCGTTTGGCATTGTCTAACATGCATGGAATCTTTATTCCCTTGATCTTCTAGCTAGATTTTCTACATCAAACAATCTCCACCATTCTGTAGCTGCCACCTCAATGGCTATTCTATCCTCCTTACCGGTTACATGGAAAATGGCCATTAATCCCACCTGGTTTAGAAACGTCAATTGATGAGATCAACCCAAACTCAAGCCCAAGAACGTTCAATTTACATATTGAAATCTTTGATATTGTACCATTGGCTACATAGGTTGATTCATCCACGGCTTAAGATGAACCCCTTTCGAAGTGGGCCTTGGGCTGGACAACAGAGAATTTACTTGGCGAAATTTCCTCGGATGAATCTTGCGGATTAGCATTACTGCGAGAGTGTTTTATGTAGAGGAAGAAGAGAATAAAGGAAAGAAAGACAGCAAAAAGTAGGAGAAAAATAAGCATCATAATCTCACCATGCAAAGCGAAGTTTCTATCACGAGAGAAAAGAAGGTGATCGTCTTGAGGATCATCATCAGGGGCCATGGAAGATGATAATAGAGGTGGAGGTGGAGGACTAGCCATATGGGAATCAATGGTGGAGTGGTAGGCTTAGGTTTAGCGAAAAGGGCCAGGACTGAGTGGATTTTATATAAAATGGATGGAGTTTCATTCATGGGCATTTATGGTAGCCGTGACAAGTGGTGTGTCACTGTTTAAACAGTCGAAAATGTATGATACAGTATGGATTACGTTCAAAACAGTGCCTATATATACTTTCATCAAGAGCGTGAGAGCGGACGAATGAGACACAAAGGGATGGCCTCCACTGTCCCTACCCATGACTTCTCTAATTTACGTCTATAAATAAGCTTGTTTAGTTGTTTTGGCCTGTTATGGTGTTATTTGTGAATCATGTGATGACCTCAAACATTCAAAGCTATATATATACTTCCCAAAAATACTCCTTAATATTCAATGAAACAAATTCAAGGATAGTTTTTTTTTTTTTTTTAAAGGCAATTCTTAAGAAATACAGCAAATTAAAATATAGCAAAGAGTTTAATAATTGGAATAATTGAAAATAAAATGAAAAAAAAAAAAAAAGGAGATTGTTGTTATGGAGGTGTGAACGAAAATGAAGAAACAGCCAATATCTTCTTTGGTTGATTAAGGTACGAGAGGGAGTCCAAAAAAAATTAAAAAGGCTTGAAAGGTATAGCGGAAGAAATATATAGCCAAATAATTAACTAGGGATTGATGCGTGTTTCTTTGTACGATTTAAATGTAAGATAAGTATCTCAGAAATCTTTATTTTATAACTGTTGATCAAGTCATGCATGTTATTTTCATGTGATGAAATAGCTAACTAAGAAAATGACAATAGCCCCCTGAAATAACTTATAATTCAAAACAAAGGGTGCTTGTCCGAGGCCTTTCCAAGAAACTGGCCTCAAGAGGTCCACCTTCTATGACAAATTTGGAGTAGGGTTGTGCTCAATTATCTCTCCTTTTTCTTTTGTTGTCTCTTAATAAAATTTTAAACTTTTATTGCCATTTTAGTGGGCCCTTTTTATCCCTGATATATATGATAAGAAATGAACTCATGGCAAGAGCCATACGCTCATGTGAGACCACAAAGTTAGATCAAACCATTAAACATCTGTGAGTACTCTATTACAATTAACCTTTACCTGGTAGAAATTTCATTTATTGAAAATTTCGATCATTTTCAAATTTACAATTTTCATCTCAGACTTCAATCAACGGTTAAAACGCCATTATTTCTTCAAGCCACGAAACATTAACAATCTAGACTTGGGAGGAACTTCCGACCAAACCCCGATATACATTCTGATATCATCCAAATTTTACTTAATCATTTTCTGTCAAAAAAAATTTTTTTATGTGGTTTGCCCTCATCCGTCACCTGAAGTTAATAATTTGCAACCAAAAATTAATTAATCAATCAATGATTCCAAATCTTTAAGGAGGCCCACGGCGTAAGAATTAGCGGAAGCAGTGCCACAGAATTTTATTGTACGCGATGCTCAGCTTAGACAAGTCCTTTTAGCCTACGATAACGACAATTCCCGATAATTATTTCCATGCGGACAGGGGTGAGAAGTAGAAAATAAAGAAAGTTCCGAGAGAATTCAGCTACTGTACAGTGTACAGTTATGTTTTCCTCCCACTAATGAATCCCAATTTTCTTGGGACCTGCTATTTTCCCTCGTCAAACTCAACTTTCGGAGATTGGTTAGAAACACACTAGTTATCTAATATTTGGCAATAAAAAATATTCATGTTCTGTTACAAATAATTGTGCTACAAACAAATATGTTCCAATATTATGCAAATTACTACAAGGTGTTATAAATAGTAACGTTATAAAAAATATTAGTGACATTAATTTTGTATTTTCTTTTGTTAAAAATGTAATTTAATCTTGTTTATTTAATATAATACCATTTAAGCTGATATATATATATATATTTTTTATAATATTTCTATAAATTATTTCAAAAAATTTTATTGCTAAAACGACATTTAAAATCTTAATTTTTTATCTGTCGGTGATAGGACAGATTACATGTCATAACAAGCTAGCGAAGGAATCAAATCAACACATAATAATAACCTGAGTTTGCTTTAAAAAAAAAAAGGTGGTTTAGGTTTTCAAGCAATAAACAAAAGGCGTGACTTCAACACGAGTTACAAGATATAATAAAACGTCCTCTCTGCTAACAGCCTCGACAGAAGAATCTCACTGGACAGCTATTTACATCCTGCTTGTTTGCTCCGCGGAAATTCCAACTGGATCGTGCCCCACACGCTCTACAAAACTCCACACGGCCGTCGCATCAGTCGTCCTTTCTGGTTTTTTCTTGATCTTGATCTCGACTCTTTGAAGGTTCAAGGCCTATGGGTCACAATGGCTACGATTCATGGCTGTATTGACCTGTACAATGGCATAGTATTGATCTGGGTCATGGATATTTTCTCGGACTATCCTTTTCTTTACCCTTTTGATTCTTTCTTGGTCTGTCAATAGTCAACACACAGGGAAGCCCATCTTAGATAAATGAGAGTTTTTCGATTATTTCTCTTCCTATTGGGTTTGAGTCTAATTGAAGGAGAGTTTTTCTGGATATGGAGCAAGCCCATCCTGGATAAGTTAGTTCTTAGTCCAAGCCCATATGGTTTCCTAATTTAATGGACAAATAGGCCCAAAAATAACTTTATCGGATTCCGGATCATGACAACTGCTACTAAAGAAAGCACAGATGCAGCTACAACTCGAACAAAATTCCATTTCATTTAGAATGACTTTGAAGCTTCCTTCGAACGCTTTTGGTTTCTTCTCGCGACAGGCAGTTCGTTAAATGGCAGATGGAATTGCAAAATTTTCATGTAAAAATATACAATTTTCTCCTCTGTTCCTTTAGCTTTTTAGAGCATCTGTTTCACTCCCAAACAAATTCTTTATGAAACCATGAATCGAACTTGAGCACAGTTTCGTGCCTACAAATTGTGAATGCAAAACATGATCCCATGTAGACCTATTTTCTTCCCTTGATTAGATTGCAAATTTGCAAAGGTTTAAAGATTCCAAGGATCCCATGTCAAACTATCACATGTTCCCATTGTTCTAGCATAACATGCATTGACCGATCCCAAGCTTAGCAAGTTCGCTACGGTTTCAGGGCGAACACATGTGGGTCTAAAGAAGGAGCCCTTCTCCCAAATCACTATTTTGAACTAGGACAAAGTCTAATTTGAATCACCAAAAATGAAAAACATTCTTCATACGAACCTTCCTAAGAATTTATGAAAAAGCAACAAGAATGTTACTCCACAATGCATTCCCACCTTCTTCTTTTAACAACCCTACATATACAAGACTTAAGACTTAAAAGAGTGTTTAAACACGACATTTAACAAATACTATTGTGCATGCTTCTGAGTCAAACCTGCGCAGTTCACGCTATTTAAGTTTAGCCACGGATGCCGATCAGATAGCCTACACAACAGACGAGATCGCTCCAGCAGTGCCCCCATGGCTAAACAAAGGAGACAATGCATGGCGAATGACAGTATCGACTCTGGTGAGAATTAAGTGCATGGCTGGACTCGCAATCCTCTGTGCGAGTATTGTCTAGACGAGATGGGCCGTGAACTCAGCTTTCATGACCCTTTATGCCTCTGCGGCAATCCTCATTTGGTGGGTCCTTTTATGCCATCGCAAGGCCTTTGGTGATGAACTACTCCCTTTCTGGGGAAAGGGAGCACCGGCTTTAGGCCAAAAGTACCGCCAAGGTCCCTAAGTGTAGGCACAGAGTCACCGATGGTGCCTATGAGGCCACCGAACTTTGTCTAAATTCGAATTTTATCAGTGTAATCAAGATAGATTGCAAAAATAATGGTTTATCCCCTCAAATGACCGATAGAGCTCAGTAGGCTGGAATTGATACAACTAGGCCTAAACGTCAAAATCTTCTTTAATCTCTTTTGGCTATTTATCAACGGTGTCCTTGGAAGCTTTTTGAGAAAGGGAAAAGTCAATACAACGTAGTATTTTCTTTTCTTTTGTTTTTATTGATAAATTGGTCGTGATTATAATTGTCACGTTAACTTCTTTTTTCTTTATGTTACGTGGATCTATATGAGCCACAAAATCACAACCACTGCAGCTGCACGGCCATTGACACTGAACTAGCATCTGATTATTGTTCACTGTCCTTTGTTGCATCTTCTCTCCTTCCGACACTACCCATCCTTGGAACTAACATCTGAGCTGTAATTGAATCCAGAAACTATCTATTGAGTCATAATCTGATTTTCATTCACATCATTCTTACCCGCACAATAATATGGATGTCCCTGGAATTAGGATTATTAATTGTGACACAACCAATCATTAATTGTATAAGTAAGATGCAGCTCATTCAGCCCAACCAGGGATAAAAACCAAGGTTGGATATCTGATATTTTCAGCATCAAAAGTCATAACAATCATCATTCACCACCAACATGAACTCAGTTCCAATATGTTATCATAAACAACGGGAGGATTTCAGTAATAGAAATACAGTAACAATATTAGATTTACGTATCATATCATACGAGAAAGTTTAGGAATAAAAGAGAGCATTTATCCACGGTCCGAACCTACCTGACCAAGTCTGGAACAGATCTTCTGTATAAATCCCCAAGTCTATCATTTATTATCCACATAAAAACCAAATAACTAATCCACACTCACTCATCCATAACTGGTCAGAGTCCATAGACCTCCACAATCCACATACATTTAGAATCCCCTTCTTTTAGAGGGAGAAGGATTGCAACATTAGTACACACAAAAAAGAAGGAGCAGAATAGAACTAGGTTACACTTGCGAGTAATTTTACATTTGCTGAAACCCTTAGCAAATGTAAGAGAAAAAAAAAAAAAGAGAGGTTCCTTCTTGTATATGCAAATGGAGAAGATCCTGCAAACATTGCATATCTTAATTTGTTCCAAGCAAAAATACAAAGCAGTTCTTAGACTTTTCCTAAAAGAGTTGTTGATAAGTTTAAACCATGCCTCAAAAACAAAAATCATCACTCTCTGTGCATGACATTCTCTTCCTATAATTTTCTGAATCTTGACTTGAGGGATATCCATATCTTTGATACCCAATGAGACAGAAATAAAATGAAACAAGAAATTGTATTGCAATCAAATGAAAATTTAGCCAATCGTCTGTGAATGCCATGAGCATGTGTAGATACATTAATCATAGTAAAGGAAAAAGAACACTTAAATCATCTTCATAATCACATTATCTTCAATTATAATAACTAGAAATTCATTGAAATGAAAAATCATAACACATATCCCAATTCCTTGATAATGTATAGTTATAATTCCCGTCTCTTTTCTGCTGTTAGCACTGTTTGAGAGAGAATTTTGAACAAAACTGGATCTAGTTATCTTAGTTGTTCATCATTCACAGAAAATTCAATATCAGGCATCCATGATTCACAAACTTCTTTTAATCCCCACCTCGAAACCCAAAAAGTAGGGAGAAGAACTATGACCAGATACAAAACAGATTATTAGTTAAAAAAACAGAGGGAACAAAATCAATGATGAACTAAACAGAAAGCTAGAAACTGGAAGAATCTGTTTCAGATCCTGAATGAAACATAATTTCCATACAGCATCAAGATCTCCTCAAAATAATGGAAGATAAAAACTACTGGGTGATAACTAAAACAGCATGCAGCTGACATCAGGTATTTAGCAGAGATAAAATCGAATACTCTCATGAGTTTAGTTCATAATGGTCACTATTGATAAGATGTTCATATAGCTTATATCGCATCAACTTTCAGCAATTCTCTAACACTATCATCAAAAGATCAATAAAAAAAAAATTAAAGATCATACCAAGCAACCAATTTTGCTTTGTCTGCAATGACATTAGAATGAGAAGAAAAGGCTAAAGCAAATTCATCCATCCAATAATAAATACTGTAAATTGTGAGGATGTATTATTCAAAGTAAGATAAAAACCACATTGCTGGCAGTACAACAACAGAATTAAAAGGGGAAAAAAGCCTGAAATGATTCGATTTCATCCTCTTTCTCGCTATCCTGTTATATTTCCATAGAAAAAGTAATTCTCCATCTATTCAATCTCAATTATAAGTCAATTAAAACCCAACCAAATTGAATACTCCTCCAAATAATTTAAAATATCACCAAAAATAAATAATCAGCCATACCAATCAATGAACCGATTCCTTAGCTCCTTCCAGCCCTTCCTCAATCTTCTTCTTGTTCTTCTCAATAGCAGCTGCAACCTCTTGAGGCATATACTTTTCATCATGCTTAGCAAGAACCTCAGTCGCAGAAAAATAACAGTCCCCGTTCCTTGCTTTGGAGGAAACGCTCCTCGACGAAACGTCCCGTTTAATCTCTTCCGTAAACGGCTTAACAAATCCTTCAACCACAACGGAATGTCCCTCTCTAAACAAATCCGGAAGCGAACCTTCGTACCGAACCAGAATATCAGTTATCAAATCGGTAATGACAAACTCCATTTCTTTACAAGAACCCGGTTGAACCACGCTTCCTTCCAGAACCAGACCGCCGAGTCTAAACTTTGTTTTCGAAGGATTTTTAGTGTATTTTTCAAGGGCGTCGGTTGGGGTAACGTAAAACACTAATTGTTCTTGAAAATTGTTGAGGACTAAAACTACAAAGCCCGCGATGCAACTAAAGGTTAGGGCGTAGGTCCAGAGGCGGCGTGTCTGGAGCTGGCGGGCTCGGGCCCCGATGTCTACTTTTTTGGGCCGGTTTGGGATGCGGCGGGCGGAAGTGTAGAGGAAGCGGAGTGTGGAGGATGTGAAGAAATGGTCGATGGTGGCGGTGGGAAGGGGCGAGAGATGAGAGATCAACGGTGGGGATTTGAGGATTGAGAGAGATGGGGGTTTCTGGTAGTGGAGATTGTGGAGGAGACGGGATCTGAGATGGAGGGCGAGTCTTGTGGCCATTTGATTGATCTTCACTTTTGGTTTTCTCGGGAAAGAGATGGAAAATTCTGGGGAGTTTGTTGGGAGGGTTTTGGGTTTAGTCAATACCCAACATACGGGGACGGGAGGCGGCAGTTTGATTTTGCTAGCTTTGATGGCGTGGGAAGCACGGGAGACTATTTCTTTCCGTTCTTATATTTTCCTAAGTTAAAAAATGCAACAATTGATTTTGTGGAAACCTCATAAATTCCAATATTTAACTTTATTGATTTTTTAATATAAAATAATGAAAATGATAAAATATTTTGCTAAGCGTTTTAATTTCTTTTTTTTTTGTCTCAAAATTGACTAAATTGAAATATACAATAAAAGCATTTATCGTTTGCGTAACCAAATATTTTAATTTTGTTTGTTATCTAATAACCAACAAAATTAAGAATATAATGATAAGTTTTAATAAACATAAAAATATATTAACAAAATCTAATGAAATTAAAATATAATTATAAAATTCAATATATATTTTTGAATAAAATGACAACCTATCATCAAGATGAATAAAAACACATTATGTTATATATAAAGGTAAAAAATTACATAATTTAGTTTAATATAAAATATTTATATTTGATTCAATAAAAGTGTACATTCCATTCAACTCAACTGAATCTTTTAGCCTAAATCTGACAACCTCTTGTATGTCATTAATTAATTACAAACTCGCAGGATCAAGTTCCAACCTGCAAGGGTTAAAGTTGTGTTCTCAAACGTCAGGGTTCTGATCACTAGAGAGCAGGAAGATGAAGACGACACAAATAAGCCAACAGTTAGTGTCCAATTCCCTGCCGCAACACTCAAATCAATTAGTCTTTTAGGCAGCTAGCGGTATGGTGCTTGGAACTCAGTGTTCGTACCACCATATCCAGTCAATCATGTTCTGCAAACAGGAAAGAATCCGTCAACTTTGGGAGAAACACTGGGATCTCCAAAGATAAACCTCCCGTATTCGACCCAGCTGGTTAGAGTTGATATTGAACCCACTATGTTTCCATTACGTCGAATATTGCAAAAAGAAGTCTCGCCCTTCCATGCATGGTTAACATCTCTCTCTCAAAAAAGCCCAGTGAAGAAGAGCCCACATTTTTCACTTTTCTTGACATATTAAATAAAGAGAAAAGGAAAAGAAAAGAAAAGAAACAGAGTCCTTCAAATTATCCACAGATCTTTCGTAACGTTTCTCCTACTAAAAAACTGAAACAAGAGTTACCCTGTACCCACTATAACAAGTTAAAATCGCATCTGTCTCGGTAACATAGGAAACTGTAAATCAGGCCTTGTTAAACGTAAATTAGTAACCTTTCTTTCAATCAAATGGCTATTCCAAAGTTACCAGCTTTTGTCCTAAAACTGTAGACTTAGTACATTTTATCTTCTTTTGATATGGTTTTGTTAACTAGTCTAGTCAAAAAGAAAAGCTTTACAAGAAATCATTAATTTATGTTAAATTAGTCTAAAATTTCACTGAACAGTCAGATAAATCTGAAGCAATTGTGACTGATGTGTGTTGACTAGATACCAGAAGACATGAAAAGCAGGTATTTCGGTCGAACAAGCAAGAATAACTAGGGTTCTACCCACCCCAACGCGAACACCGCTACCCACATGCGCTTTTGATTAGCTATGTCTATCCTTCTTCTCTCGATGACCTTTGTTTTTTTTTTTTTGTATTTCCATGAGATTTCCCATTCATCTTTTACAACTGCTGAATAAAGTAACTATCTCTAGTTAAATGACGCAAACTTGACTGGGAATAGGAAGTTCATATATACAAACAGGAGCACTCTGCAGGTTTCCCTTATTCAAACACTGAAGAGATCGCAGGGCATGAAATTAGTTAATCTAATAAATTATTCTATAAACTGAGCATTGGCGATCGAATTTCTATATATAGCTGCTAAAAATTTGTCTCATGATGATTAATTTGCGTCTGTAGTTGTGTTAGTTTAGAGAAGTTGGAAATAGTAGACTAAGTAAAACCACTAATCTAAAGTATATATATTATATATGCAGATATGCTTTCCCTGGATGCCAATTTTTCAGTCAATTAGGAGCCAGAGTTAATCTCCATTTTCTACCCAGGGGTTCTCTTAATTTGTAACAGTATAGTTTTTTCTTTTTTAATTAGTTTGCATAACTGTTCAGCACAAATTTTTATGTTAAGGTCATGAGTTTATCATGATGTCTTCAGTATGATTCTAATAAGTGAAGAAAGAGTACATTTTCTTTGTCCTTTCGAGCTCTTTCACCAAGAATGTTTGAGGCTTTAGGCTATTCCTGGCGCATCATCGGTTCATATAATTACAATATGGTGATCTACCTTGCTCCTTAAGCTTCAGCTGAAATGCAGGGACAAGTCAAGGAATAACATGATTGCTAAATGCTAGTACCATGTTGTAGTATTGATTCTATTTGAACTGTATATAGCAAAACACAACTGTGCCCTCTGGTTTCTCGGTAGGCTGTTTATTGGGGGATGTTTGCGTGCTAGCGGATCCAGCTTGAGTCTGAAACTGGTTCAAACAACTTTCTTCAACAATTCCCTTCAAAAAAAGAGCTGATATGACTGGCCAGAAGCTCTTTTCTTTTCTACTTAAAGGGAGTAATCGAGGGAACATGAATAGTTATTTTCTTTCAGCAAACAGTGTATAACCTCAGGGAAAAGGCATTCTTCGCTTCGTACGTTAAAAGCCCGGCAATGATTTGGTTCTTGGATTTAGACACATCTACAACTATGATACATCCACTTCGATTCCAGAGAAGGACCGCCGGCTCCCCATCCCCTTGCTTTCTTTCGCTCCTTGGTTTCTTTCTGATCTTCACCAGCTGACCAAACGCAAAGCCAAATTTTCTCTCTCTTGCATAATGTATAAGTGCATTTGAGCGTTTGAAGGGGGAAGGGAGGGGGTCCTATCTAGTGGGTCAGACATCTGTAGAAAGAGGAGTATCTGTTAAAGCTAATAAGGAAACAAGACATTAAAAAGGCAAAGCAGCAAATACCTTTGCGTAGGTTGCTTTCCATGACTGGCCTAGTAGGCCCCCAGGGTAAACACCCGTATCCTGCGCCAAAGATCGGCTGACCCAACATGACGACATGTAAATTTCTCGAATATTCATTCAAAACAACCGCCTGCATTTCCTTCTCTATATATACATTTAACTTGAGAAGGACCCCTACCAAGCGTCAACAAGTACTCAAAATTAATCAAACTTGTCTCCAAGTTACAAGTGCTAGTGTTGCTAATGGAGTACCTTCCCTCTGCTAACATTTGCTCATCATTTATTGAGGGGTCTTCTTCAGTGACAAACAGCAACAGCAGCAAAGAGAAGAAGAAGGCTGGCAAAAAGACCAAAGGTGCGGTAAAGCTATCGACTGATCCACAAAGTGTGGCGGCTAGAGAAAGGAGGCACCGAATCAGTGACCGTTTCAAGATCTTGCAGAGCATGGTTCCTGGTGGAACTAAGATGGACACTGTGTCCATGCTTGATGAAGCTATACATTATGTAAAGTTCCTCAAAACTCAGATATGGCTTCACCAAGCAATGATCAACTTCGTAGATGATGACTCGTCTCTCTCCTTTCCTATCTCTTTTCCTGTTCAAGGAAATATTTACCCATTAAACACTAACCAAAACCCTGCGGCAGTTCAACCATCACAGCTGCAGCCATTACCGAATTCTTGCTTCCAAGTTGACCAACGAGCCATGCCTTATGATTTATTCATGAAAAATCAATAAGCTTCTCTCCTTATTCCTATGGATGTGTATGGGTCGTTATAAGGCAATATTTCACTCGTTCTATTGTTGTTTAGAATATTTATCAAGGGGGATGTATGAATATGATAAAACCTTGTAACAAAGTTTAATGTGTCTGGTATCAAGGACGAATTTGCTCTTCATGTTCCGTTCTTAATTGAACTTTCAATATCTAAGCGTTTGGCTGTTAATAATAGTTCTTGAAAAATATTAGCTCTTCACTTCGAGAAAGAACGTATAGTTTATTTATCTGTTTTCTGAGTAAATAATTTATAACAAAATCGTGTCTCATTTCATGAGTTTTAAACTTTTTTGAGGATTCCATCAATGTTTTTTCTTTCAGAATTCAATGATAAAGTCCAAACACATGTACAAGAGCACATATATTCTCATTCTGACCCAACAAGCTCATGTATATTGTCTATATACGTAGGAATATTATACATGGTTTATATAATTAGAATTTGGCGAACCCCAATTAAATAAATTTATGAATATCAATACAAAGAACTTTACCATCTTTAATTACTCTTTTTGTATATACTTTTTTAAGGAGTAGTTAAACTATGAGAGGAAATTTGAATTTAAAACAATATCCTTTTAAAAATAAAAGTAGACAACTTTTTTTTTTTTTTGAATACGTTATTAGTGTTGTTATATTTTGAAAAGAAAATGAAGTTCAAATTATTAAGATTTTGATTTGGAAGCAATAATGTGGGAATTATTAGCCTACATTTTGGTTCATTTACCATCCAATTTATCCAAAAACTTTCCCTATTAATCTTTAAATACCATTATCAAGTAGACATACTTTTGATTTGGTCGAGATTGTTGCTGGTCTTAGGAAGCAGTGCTAGCTTTGCGGGTCCAATCCCTTCCCGTTTGAACTTTTTTTTTTTTAGCTTTTATAAAATAAAATTGTATCTTTGTATTTTCTTTCTCAAACATTTAAGATCGAAGCTGAAAAAATGGTCAAAAAGAAAATTTAATGCGAACTGGTTAGAAATTCAAATTTTGGAATCTTAAACTAACCCTTTTGTATATCTAATAATAAAGACAAGTAACACATGCATGGATGATGTTTATTACACAACCTACTTCTGGATTTGTATAGTTAATTTTGTTTTTTTGTTCCATTCATCCTTTAATAAGTTGTCCAAAATTTTCAGGACATCTAAAAATTTCATTTTAGATTTCTTTTGGAAAGTATTTTATAATTTGTTTGTTGCTTGTCCTGAAAACTTTAACCCACATTCCAAACAGCTATGGGCTTTAATTAACAAAAAATTGCTAGATCGGAGAGCATACTAATTAATGGGCTCCGTAGCAGTTAGAACATGAAAAGGTCCAACATTCCCTCGATCGAGTCATGAAATGGCAACGTTCGACCGATCAGGAACAGGGAAACGTTTTTTGTGCGGGACTGGTGTAAGAACTAGAAAGGGAAGGAACGAGGGCGCTGTCCTTTAGGTGCGTAGACGGATTCAAGGCCTTTGACATATGCACATAAAGAGAATGGAAAATTGTCGTATCCTAAAATCCGTTAGTGTTATTGGTACTCAGGTACTGGTTTTGAAAATTCTGATCTCTATCGTGCATAAATTTCTTAACTAGTCTATGATTCCTGAACCAAAATTATTGTTATTGTCCTACTGTGTATTTGCTTCTGACGGAAGTTAAGTAGCAGGCAGATAGAGCTTGTGAGTGTGAGTATGTTGAGAGGAAAAGTTGCTTTGAATTGTTCACTGAGGATCCATAATTACATTTTAGTCTCATCACCCCCTTTCCAGGGTTATACAAAACAGACAGATCCTGTGACTGAGTATATTGAGAGGAAAAGTTACTTTGAATTATTTACTGAGGATCCGAAATTACACGTTCATTTCTCCTTCATAACCCCTTTCCTGGGTGTTGATTCTTTCTGTATGTATATATGTACAAAACATACAAACAAAACAAAAAATGAAGGGTCTAAGGAGAAAAGGAAGAAGAGATGGAAGAAGGAGATAAATATGGTGAATCGTAGCAGGTACAATTTAGGTCATGAATTGCTTTCTTCCGGGTATTGTCAAGTTTGGAGCAAAACACACAATACCTCCCGCGAAATTCTTCGTGATTACCCTGGCTTTCTTCGTTTTCATCATCATTGCCCGTGTTGTCTTCTTCAAGATTTTCATTTCCCTCAACCTTTGCATCATCAGGATGTGTGCATGTCAGACCCACCTTTGGAAGGATGACCTCAAGGATTTTGTCAACATTGTCATCAACCCATTTACTTACTCTCTTCCAAAATATTAAGGGTGCAACAAATGCGGCTGCCCCTACACCAAAGCCCAGCCCAATGAATATGAACTGCCAATCAAATCCATCTGTTGATCGAGATTCTGGTGCGGCATGTGTTTCCTGTGTAGGTGCAATTGCACATTGTATTTTTAGAGGAGGCCCACACAATCCTGTGTTCTTCTCAAATGAAGCTTCTGAAAATGATTGAAGCTGGGTGCCCGTTGGGATCGGTCCTACTAGCTTATTGTTTGAGATGTTAAGATATGAAAGGAAATTGAGGTTTACTAGCTGGAAAGGGATCTCACCATCTAAGGTGTTACTTGAGAGGTCTAAGGATTCAAGCTGTGACAAGTTTCCTATAAATGGTGGAATTGACCCTGTGAAAGCATTATGTGAAAAGTTAAGCACATAAAGTGCTTTGAATGTTCCAATCACTTCTGGTATTGGCCCTCCAAACTTGTTGCATGAAATGTCAATGGAGGTAAAGACAGTTAGAATCTTCAGCAGCTCCAACTCTAAACCTTTGACCGTAACTGTTATTGCATCCTGATAATAAAATTGATTGAATTGTAGGACCTTAAAATGGAGATGTTTAAGCTTTGATTGGGCCTCGTCTTCATCAGCTTGCATGGCCTCCCAGGTCAACAAGCATGTTTCATGTAGTCTACCACTAAAACCGTTGGAAGCTAAGTCAACAATCTGAAGCATCTGCCAGGGGCTCTTCTTCCCAAGGCAATGAATGTTCCCATAAAATTTATTGGCTCGTAAAACAAGAACACGCAACGTGGATATACTCTTCAAATGGCATGGGAATGTATCATTGATCTGATTGTTTCCAAGGTCTAAAACCTCCAACATTTTGCAATTGGCCAAGGATTTTGGAACTTTTCCTTGCAGTAAGTTTCGATTGAGATCTAGAGTTTGTAACCCACAGCCTTGCGGAAATGTATCAGGAATTACACCATTCAGATTGTTTCTCCTTAGATTCAGCACCCTAAGGGACAAACTCTTCTGAGTCAGGCATTGAGGGATTGACCCACTCAGGGAATTATTAGACAGATCAAGTACTTTAAGATATATAATGCTGCATATCGACCTGGGGATACTCCCTCGAAATTTATTACTCGAGAGAGAGAAGAAATAAGTGTAACTGAGGTACTCACCAATCTCAGCCAGTAAAACAGAGCTGAAATTATTGTTCGAGTAATCCAGATAGGTGGCATATCGTGGAGGAAATGGCATTTGCCCTTGCAGCTGATTGCCATGAAGGTCAAGAACACTAAGACTAGAATTTATATTCTGCAAAGGTCCTTCGAATTCTACAAGAAAGTTCTGAGAAAGATTTAGGTGTCGAAGACTTCTGGCTTCCCAAATCCATTTGGGTATTCTCCCATGGATATTGTTGTTTGAAAGGTCCAGATAAAGTAATCTAGACTGATTTTTCAAGAAATCAGGGAATTTCGTTAAGTTGCAAGAAGCCAACTTCAATGTGGTAATGTTGAGGAAGGAAGGCAAGGAAGGATTAGTATCACTGGCATTAACAGACAACTGGTTATGCGAGAGATCAAGACTGGAAAGATTTCTCAGGTTCTGAATGGCCCTTAGTGGTATAAAACCACTGAAGTTGTTTGAAGAAAGTGACAATATCTTGAGACCTTGGAGTTCAAATACAACCCTTGGAAGTGGCCCTTGTAGCTTATTGCTACTAAGATCAAGAGTATCTAGCGAAGAGGGCTCACGATGGAGGTTAACAAGGCTATCACTGAATTGATTTTGTGAAAGTAAAATCTTCTGCAGTGTTGGAATGCCGAATAAAGTTGGTGGGATTGTTCCACTGAAGTTGTTGTTTCGTAAGTCAATACTTACTAGCTTAGAAAACCCTGACCAATCAGTGGAATGAATTGTGCCATTTAACTGTGTAAGATTTCTTGATGATGAGACCGATGGCAATGGACCAGAAAAATTGTTGGATGAAAAATCCAGATAGACAAGCTGTGTAAGTTTGAGCATTGATTCTGGTATTGGTCCACTGAAATTGCAACGTGCAAGTTCTAGTCTTGTCAATTTTCCAAGGTTACCAATAGATTCTGGTAGTTGCCCCCCAAAATTTGTGTCACTAAGCAGCAATGTCTGAAGGGATGCATTCAGAGAAAAATTTAGAAAAGAACCTTGGAGTAATTTGTTGTTGGACAAATCAAGAGTCTGTAATGTAGTTGCATGCAGGATTTCTTCTGGAAATCTTCCAGTCAGGCCAGTAGTACTAAGATGAAGGGAAGTTAAATTTCGGAATTCTGCAAAGAATTTTGGAAGCGGAGCAGACAATTTGTTGGCGTCCAATCGGATGACTGAGAGAGACCGAAGCTTGGAAAATGAAGAATCTATAGGTCCTGAAAGATTACAGTTGGACATACTCAACACTTGCAAATTGGTCAGTGACGATAACGCCTGACACCACTCATTTCCCCTAGCTGATATATTTACGCCGTCAAGATAGAGAAATCTTAGCCTCGTGAGATTTCGAACAAGCATCTCCAGGTTTGGCTTCTCAAGTTTCAAGTACGCTCCGAGATATAAATTTGCAGATAAGTCAAGAGTAACCAACCTTGTCATGCGTGAAATCTCAGCTGGAATTTGCCCTTTAAAGCCAGCATTTGACAAATTAAGATAACTCACATTTGCAAACTTGTCAAACCCAGGAGGAAAAACGAAGATGAGTTTGTTATAAGCCAAATTGAGTCGCTGCAGATGCTGAAGACGGAAAATACTACTTGATTTGTCAATTGCACCTGAAATTAATCGGTTGCTCAAATCAAGGCCGACGACCCGACCACCTGCATCGCAACTTACTCCATACCAAGAACAGCAATCCGTGCTTTGATTCCAATTCACTAGCTTTCCTAATGAAGTAGAATTGAAGCTGTTTTTCAATCCGATCAACAACTGTCTCTGATCGCTTTGACATTGGCCTGAAACTAAAACTAAACTGATGCTAAAGAAAACTGCTACAAGCCATGAAAAGAGTGAAATCCTCATTGGTAACAATAACGAGAGATATACATACAACTAGTAATTATGAAGAAGATATAAAAGGAAGTAGGTTGAGGAAGGATGCAGGCCCAGAAGTATAAGGTTTTGGCATATCCTGTTCGAGTGGAGTGGTGACCGACCAAAGACCAACCCCTTTGGCGAAAGGACGGCAACCAAAAGTGTAGAATGGGGGAGGGGGAGCCAGACAGAGAACCGTCAAAGGTAAACTTTGTGTATTGTTGTTTGTTGTATACTTTTACATATCAGTACAATGTGTATAAGACGCGTTCTTTTATTATATTGTTGAAGACTTTGACTCAAGACTGTCTGTATCTTTTATTATGTTTGAAGTTTTAGCAAACTTTGAAAAATCAAACAAAGACTTGAATGGCGTTGATGCAAAGCTGCCTTGTTTCTTCTTTTTCTCAGTTGCTTTTAAACCATTTTTTTTTTTTTTATAAAGGCATGAAGTCATTACATATTGGCTATTGACAGTGACACAGTGTCTTTTTTGTTTGTTAAGTCTTTTACTATATGAACTGAAATGAGACGGTAACGCTAAAACTTTTCCATCTCATAATCCTTATTATTATTTATTTATTTTTTCAAAGTTTGAAACCTTAGGATTAAGCAGTCCCTCAAGACTTATTCACAGTTAATTACAAATATATAATTTTGTTTTCTTATTGGCAAAGATTTTGCTTCATTCTATCTTGAAACAGGGAAAACTAAAAGTAAAAAGTTACTAAACAAATAGTATCGTTTTCATGGTGTGAAAAAACTAACCCATTGTTACAATTTTCAGGCCCTACCCCACCATTCTGATTTTAACGTAAGCAAAAGAAGCAAATACTGAAAGAAAAAACTCAACTATTAATGTGGCAACTAAATAAAAGGCTCTTGGATTTTACAAAATGAAAGAGAAAGAAAAGGATTTTTAGAGTCCTGTTTGGTGTCTATCCACTAGCCTAGCCAAGGCAAGATAATTCCTCTAACTTTAAACAAACCTTGTGATAAAATTATGCTTGCCTGTTAAAGATGTTGCCATTCCTGCTACAAGTCCACGTTGTCTGCGTCGTCATGCTTATTTTTTTTCATGTAAAATATGTTCAAAAAACCTCGACCGACGCCTTGAATTATTCAAAGTTATTGATTATGGCAACAATTGCTGCAGTATTATGCAATACTCGGCGATCCAAAAGAGAAAAAATTTGTTAAATATTTTTACTTAAATTATGTTATATAATTATATTAATAAAAAAAATTAATTTATTTATTATTTACCACATGTACCAATCTGTTTAAATAAATATTTATTATTTAATTATCCTCTATGATGTATGATAAATAAATATTTTTTTATTAATACGATTATGTTATAAGATTTAAATAAATATTTGGGGGTTCACTCACAAATAGGGGCCTTGGGCCTTGGCGTGAAAAAATAAGTCCATTTCCCAGCAACCAAGCAGATAGCCAAGGGAAGCGAGGGGGTCCAATCATAGGAATAGTCGGGGAAACTAAACTGTTCTACATCGGAACAAGCATTGGAAGCTTGCAAGAGAGTCTTGATCTTGAACAGTTAGTCGCATAGAATTGCTGGAAAAAAAGCTGATCAACGATGGAAATGGACATCGACGGCACCTGTAAACCAAAAGGTATTTACATTTTTCCTGGTCCTATCATTCAATCTTATTCTCAAATTATATCATCGTACAAATTACTTAAACTGTATTGTCTATGTCTGTGTTTTTTTTTTTCTTTAAACAAGAAAAAGAAGGTGAACAAGAGAAGGGAAGGGGGAAGCCGATCCTGGTATTATTGGTGGGCGCACCAGGAAGCGGCAAGTCCACTTTTTGCGAGAACGTCATGCGGGCCTCTTTATGTCCCTGGGTTCGCATCTGCCAGGTTTCTATCTTTCTCTGCTTAATTTCATCATTAATGGAAATCCGTTGTTTTAAATTATGATTTTATATGATGTATTAAATTCATGTTGTATATGTCACCCATTTCTTTTACAATTATAAAATCGTAATTGTAGTATTGCTTGCCAGATTGCATTTTTTTTTAGTTAAATGAGTTATTACTGTCATGTGAGTTATTAAGGTTAGTAAGACTATATCAAGGGTGGAATTTCATGTGATGTTTTGAATCTTTATCGTTGCCAATTATAGTGACAATGAATTAGTGCCGCTGCTAACAAGTGAAGTGTGTTAAATGTTATTAAGATTGTATTTGCTTTCTCTTGCAGGATACTATTAATAATGGCAAAGCTGGGACAAAGGCACAGTGCTTACAGAGTGCAGCCACTTCACTGAAGGAGGGCAAGAATGTGTTTATTGATAGATGCAACTTGGATAAAGAGCAGCGGGTGGATTTTGTGAAATTTGGTGGTCCCCAAGTGGAGGTGCATGCTGTGGTGCTTGACCTCCCTGCGAAGCTTTGTATATCTCGTATAGTTAAACGTACCGGACATGAGGGAAATCTGCAAGGTGGAAAAGCTGCAGCAGTTGTGAATAGAATGCTGCAAAACAAAGAATTGCCAAAGTTGTCTGAAGGTTTCTCTCGAATCACATTTTGCCTGAACGAGACTGATGTTCAAGCTGCTCGTAGCATGTACACTGCACTCAGCCCTTTGGACACCCTTCCACATGGTTGTTTTGGTCAGAAGAACCCAAATGCCAAAACTCAACTTGGCATATTGAAGTTCTTAAAGCGACCCCATGAAACTAATAGTCAGGATTCTGTGCCTTCTCGACTTACCAAGGAAAAGTGTCCGTGCAGTGAAACAAAAGAAACTGTTTCATCATTGTCTGGTGCAGCTAGTCAGAAGATAAAGGTCAGTGAAGACCCAATGGCAGATTCTAGTAGCCAGCATGATTATGATGTTCCTACTCTGGCATTTCCGTCTATTTCTACAGCAGATTTCCAATTCAACCTTGGGAAGGCGTCTGACATTATTGTTGAGAAAGTAGAGGAATTCATGGATAAGCTTGGTAATGCCAGGCTTGTTTTAGTAGACTTGACTCATGGATCAAAAGTTTTGTCCTTGGTTAGGGCTAAAGCTGCACAAAAGAACATCGACTCCAAAAGGTTCTTCACATTTGTAGGAGATATAACTAGACTTTATTCAGATGGAGGTCTGCATTGCAATGTAATAGCTAATGCTGCCAACTGGTAAGCCTTTTGTATATATAATTTATGTCTGACGTGCAATGACTGAGTAAATAAGGTGCTTGAAATTTCTGCTACTAGCCATGTTTCATTTTTTTAAGTTCTTCAGGTTTCCTGGTAGAGAAACCCATTTGTGGGAAATGCCTGAGATTTTGGCCTACACAATTGTTAATGGCTATGCAGAAAGATTAGTTTCTGGTTTTAATCGATGGGTTTAATAAAATGTAACTTGTTTTATACGTTGTCTTCTAAGATATCGAATTTGATTTTAATCAGTTAAACCTTCTGGCTGGTTCTCTCTGTCTGACATGAAAAATACTGTTGTTGCTCTTTGAGGATCTCACAACTAGTTAAAATAACATGAGTAGTTCTGAAAGTATTTCTAGCCCCTGTGGGGATGAAATGTGTTATACCTGCTTTATAATGCCAATACTCTCTGAATGTAAACATGATACTTGTCACACAGGACTTTTTTTTTTTTATGGATGTATACTGAAAGATTATCCTGTTCAGGCGCCTGAAACCTGGAGGTGGAGGTGTGAATGCTGCAGTCTTCAATGCTGGTGGTCCGGCTCTAGAGGCTGCAACCAAGAATCAGGCTATATCTCTTCTCCCAGGGAATGCTGTAGTTGTTCCTCTCCCTTCAACTTCTCCTTTGTATAGTAGGGAAGGTGTGACCCATGTAATACATGTTCTTGGACCAAATATGAACCCAGAGAGACCAAATTGCCTCAACAATGACTATATCAAAGGCTGCAAAATTCTTCAAAATGCCTACTCGTCACTCTTTGAAGGGTTTTTATCTATAGCTAAGACCCAAGTGAAGTTTCCCACGAGAAGCAGTAGAAATGTTCTGCCTGGGCCTTCTGTACCAGAAGATAAGATTAGTGGAACTATGACTAAATCCTGGGCTCCATGGGTTCAATCTCTATATAACATTGCAATGCACCCTGAGAAGTATAAGGATGAAGTGCTGGAGGCATTAGATGATGTTGTTGTATTAAATGATATGTATCCAAAGGTAAAATATCTGCTGACTTCTTCCCGCCTCTCTTCTCTTTGGATAATTTTTAACAAATAGAGGGATGGATTCTTTTTTTCGTTTTTTAAGGCAAAACGGCATCTTTTGGTGTTGGCAAGATTTGAAGGTCTTGATTGCTTGGCAGATGCACATAAAGAGCACCTTCAGTTGTTAGTGACAATGCAAGAAGTGGGTTTGAAGTGGGCCAATAAGTTCTTGCATGAAGATGCATCATTTGTCTTCCGCCTTGGATATCACTCGGTATGCTAAACACTTTTTGCTTCTTCTAATTTTTTTTTGTTTGCGTAGTTTTAGGTCCGATAAACTTATGCAACTCTCAGTGAAAGACTGAAATTCTGTCTTGGAAATTGTAAGCTGGTAGTCATGGTGTTTCCTGAGCTTGGGCAGTTTATCCTTGCCTTTTAGCATGAAAAGAACCTTAGTTGCATGTGCTGCCTGATGTAGACCTCACTTTGGAATGAACCCAGAAGTTGGTGGAGTACCAAACAAAGGACATCTTCTGATTAGATTCACTTTTATGCAACATCCAGTTACTGTAACTAGAATGCATACATGCAGATGCAGAGGTTGAGGGAAGGCCGAAAGAGTATAGGTTGTATTCTTGTAGATGTGAACAAAGAGATTCTGTTATGGCCTAATATATTTATGATAAAGTACTAAAGACTGATAGCTAAAGTATTTTAGGACAATTGTTTAACATTCATGAAAAAAGGATTAAGAATAGGGTATTTTGGATTTATGGTCATGCGTGTAGGAGAATCTGGCATTCTATGCATCTGATTGCAATTAACGTACCCATGTGTCTTGGTCTGTGTATACTTCATCTTCCAATCTTCAATGATTGACGGATATTGGAAAACACCATTTGAAAATATGGTTTCTTGCCTGCTTCCTCCTGCAGGTCCCTTCAATGAGACAACTGCACCTGCATGTTATTAGCCAAGATTTTGAGTCCAAATGTCTCAAGAATAAGAAGCATTGGAACTCCTTCAATACTGCTTTTTTCCGTGATTCTGTAGATGTAATTGAGGAGGTTAGTAATCATGGAAAAGCAACATTACAAGATAACAACAGACTGTTGTCAATGGAGTTGCGTTGCCATCGGTGCAGAAGTGCACACCCTAACATTCCCAGGCTAAAATCACATATCAGCAACTGCCAAGCTCCTTTCCCTGCTGCTCTGCAGAAAAATGGTCGTCTAATTCTTACACAAAGTAACTCGGGCTGTGACCCTTAGGTGTCTATAGCCATGCTTCCCAGAGATTTTGCTGTATATACTATGAAAAATACTGGATAAAGTATCCAATTGTGCTGATGTTTGCCCGAGAAACAAATCTGTGACTAATGCCTCTTTTTGTCAAGTAATGAAAGAACAAGTGGGGACGATGAAGTTCCAAAAAGGTTCTCTCTTGTTCATTCATGTTGACTGTTGCTAAATCTCATTTGATTTTGTTAAGCATGATTGGACGCATGTTACGTTAATGGTGATAAACCCATACGGTGTTAAGCCCTCAACAAAGCCGCAAATGACGTTAATGTCTATGTTTTGGGTTATTAAAGTGGGCTAACAGTGATTCTTCTGGTGTTATAGTAAACACTTTAAAACTGGACTAGAAAATTTTCTCTTCTCACGTAGAACCCCAGATACTTGGATATAATCCACAAAAGTCATGTTTGCATGTTTTCCATGGAATATTCACGCGACAAATGCTGCATAAGTCTAGGAAAACCAGTTTTACTTCGTTGGAAAATTTTACCAGTTCTTTTGCTTATCGATCAACATCTGACATGAATGAAATATCTTCATGCAGCCAATGTTTTTTTGTCTGAATAAGAGGCCAGAATTGATTGTACTGGAACATATTATATTCATAGGACCCAGTGCTTTTTAAGCTTTCGATATGATCCATAAAATCAGTTTTTCTACAGTCCAATGTTAAAAAGCTTAAAAAAATCTGCTTCTAAAGGCAAGTCGCATCCTTTTGACACCACTAAATTTTAATGCATTACACATTGAACCGTTTGTGATCGCTAGAAATTACCTTTCAATATCTCATGAGAAAAAGGAAAGAAAATCTTTGCTGCATTTTTGGTGGGTCAATCTATCAGAAATTTGGATAGGCAGGTTAATCAACCGTATTATACTATAACCCATGGCCTTTCGGTCTTTATCATGTCATGTAGTCCCTTCTTTACCTGTCAATTCTGAGCTTTTGCTCTCGCTCTGGACTAATCATCAAATTTAGCAAAGACCACAAGAAATGAAACAAAAACATTCATTACTAGAAATGAAATTGAAAGTAAATGTACACAAACATCCGCGAGCAATCCCCATATTCAGCATAATGTTGAAAATACAGAATTTAATCCACACAGTTATGCGAGTAATTCTCATGTACTTGAAGGTTAAAGCTAATAGCATTCCATGCCAGCGCCTAGAGTTTACTGAGGATTTGGGGGACGGCTATTAGCAGCAGAGACCCTAGAGCCCCATTCCAACAGCTCTTTGCTAGTATCATCCTTGTGAACTATCACCTCAATGAAACATAAGCAATCCTTCTTCGCTCCTGTTGCCGTCTCAATTGCTTCAATGAGCTCTTCCTCACAAAAGACCTGAAACAGGAACAAATTTATAGAAATCAGCATTCATCTATGTAAGGAATTTGATTTGATACATTTGAGCAATGTACCAAGTTTGAATTGACTCACCTTGGCTGTCCAGCACTTGCCTTCACCATTATGAATTGCATCTACCAAGCCAGTGTAGTTCCAATTCTTGATCACATTGTATGGTCCATCATGAATCTCAACTTCAATGGTGTAACCACCATTGTTTATCAGAAAGATTATGGTTTTCTGTCCACACCGCAGCATTGTTGACACATCTTGTGCGGTCACCTATTGAACCAACCACCAAAAATATTATAAACAACCGAATGAATTTAACAGCACTTTGGTATTATTTGACTTCTTTTCCCACGCAAAAATATCATAATTAATGATCAAAAAATGACCACACATACCTGGAAACTACCATCACCAATACAAGCAATTACACGTTTCTCTGGAACAGCCTGTGCATACCCCAGAGTGGCACCAACTGACCACCCAATTGATCCATACTGCATTTGGAATTCATACCTGCAAAACAATTCGAATTCAATGTCAAATTCAAAACCCTAAATTTTTTCTTCCTATATGTGGCTTTTGATTCCTAGCCTAGACTAAGTTGGGGATTCACATAAGCTAAAAAAGTTTATCCTCTAATACTCACCCACATCCTCTAGGCAATTTCAGTTTCTGGCAGTTAAACCAAGAATCCCCTGTTTCAGCAATCACGGCAGTTTCACTAGAGAGCATCTTCTGAATGTGTTGAAACAGAACATTAACCCTCAAAGGCTCTTTAGGTGCTGCCTTCAAAGGATGACCCTCGGGAACAAAAATCCTGTGGTAATTCTCATAAGCAGTATTATTGTGCTTGAGCCTCCTGGCGAGTTCTCTAAGAAAATCTTTCATCAAAACACAACCAAATGAAGGCCCATTAGCAATCACTACCCGATCAGGCTGCACAATAATTGCCTTCTCTCTCTTAAGTAGCAAGGAGTACCCAACAGAACTATAGTCATTGAAAATAGGTCCAGCGAATAAGTAAGCATCAGCAGATTCAACGATCTCAGCACAAAAAGCAGTGCTAACGGCACCCCAGTAGGTCCCAATGAAATGAGGATGTTGCTCAGGAACCAGCCCTTTAGCTGATGGCATCACCGCCAGGGCGTAGCCACTAGCATCAGCCAACTCAACAAAAGCCTCACATGCCTTAGCAACACGCAGCTTAGGTCCACCTACTAAAACGGGTTTCACCGCCTTGTTCAAGAACTCTGCGGTTGCCTCCACTGCCGCCTCTAACCCCATCTTATTGCTCAATCTACACACAATACCCAAAAATAAACAAAAACATTTCCTTGACGTAAAAGTTAATCACTAAATAATCTTGAGCTTGAAAAGATAAAAAATTTACTTTGGAGAGAGTGAAAACGGAACAGGGTCGAGGCTAAAAGTGGGGTGAGGAATTGCAGGCAAGTTGCAGCTGATACTGATATAAACAGGCTTGCTTTCTTTCAAAGCAGTTGAAATAGCTGTATCGATCAATTCATGAGCATCCTCCAAGTTATTCACCACAGCCTAGTAAACACCAAACACTCCATATTTATCATCTTCCTAATCAAAACCAAAACAACAACAAAATTATAAAAGCAGGGGAAAGAAAGAGAGATTATTACCTGATAGCAAGTAACAGTCTGGAAGCATCTAAGCTCTTGGCTAAAGTCAGGCAACCCAATCGTATGGTGAAGAATCCTGTTAGTTCCACAGTCATTGGAGTTTGGTCCACCCACAATGCAAATAAGAGGCAGATTCTCACTATAAGCACCAGCAATCGCGTTCAAAACGCTGAGCCCACCAACAGTAAACGTCACAACGCAGGCACCAACGCCACGAGACCTGGCGTAACCATCAGCGGCATATCCGGCGTTAAGTTCGTTACAGCAGCCGATCAGGTTAAGCCCAGGCTCAGCTATCAAATGGTCAAGCAAAGTCAAGTTAAAATCCCCTGGAACAGAGAATACGTCGTTTACTCCAATCTGAACAAGCCGTCTAGCTAAGTGACGGCCGAGAGTGGCTTCTGAGGAGTTGATAGCGGTGGGTGAAACGGAGTTTTGAATGGTAACAACGGCGCCCTTGGGTGGACTGGCAACATCGTTGCAAGTCGGTTTACAGATGTCGAATGATCCAATCGTAATATCCATTTTGAAAAAGATATTTTTCACCGCTTTGGCAATCAAGAGTTGATCTGGTGAAGATAACTGTAGAGAGAAAGATAGAAAAAGCTTGATTTTTTTTTTTTTCTGTTTCAATAAAATTGGGAAATTTGTCTTAATGTGAAATGGAAAACAATGGGGGAGGAATTTATAAAGGCAAATACTGACCGGTAAATGATACTGCGGGCGGTTTTCTGGAGAGATGATATTAGTTTAGTTTCTATGGATTCCAATTTCACTCGTACTAAAATTACTTTTGCGATAGAGACCAGAAAGAATGTCTGCCATGGAACGTGAGAAACGCGCTCTCATTTAATTATTGTTAGTAGTATCCACTAATTAATTGCCTAAATATGAATGACATTAACTGACCTATGACTATGAGCTCGGCAATACAAAATTGTTCTTTCTAAAAAGCAGCATGTGAAGTTATTATTTGCTAATAAAATGGACTATTATTTTTTAATTTTCATTCAAAGGGAAAGATGCTTTTTTTTTTTTTGGTTAAATGCAGAATCTTTTTGGAACAAGGTTGCTGATTACCCATTAATCTAACTTGTTTTTTCTTTTTCTTTTTTTTTAATTTTGGTGTTTCTGATTTAATAAAATTATAATTATTAAGGCTAGATTTATATATACACGGACAGGTGCAAAAGCCAACGGTGGCATACGGCGTCAATTGAAGCTTCAACTGAAACACGCAGACATTTTGGTCGCTGAGCTGCACCATGGTTTTTGAACGCTTTACTGCTTAGCACTTGTTTATTTATTTCACCTGTTTCTCCCCTGTTTTGCCTTCTTTGGGCGCGTGCTCTGAGTCATTCTATAAATCCAACTTTCATTACAAAAGAGACAAAAACCTTTCAATGATAATGGTGCCCTAATTTAGGTTGAAAAAACCAGGAGCAAAACAAGTTTTCCACTCGAACCATCCAAAATCCCACTGGTTTTGGAAACCATATGAGTTGGCTGGGAATTCCACTATTTGAAAAACTTTTGTTCTTTATACAAAGGAGATTCGTGTCCTACAAGGACTTTCCTTTTATTACAATTAATGTTTTTATTAATTTTATAATTATTTAATTATAATAAAAAAATTATTTACAAATTATAATTAAAAAATTATATAAAATTTTTATCATTTGTAAATATAAATCTCGTATAAAATTTTAATAAAATTTATATAATTTTTTAAATAAAATTTCATATAATTTTAAATTATAATAATTATTAATGATATGCTAAAAAAAAGGACTAATAATTCATGAAAAAAATTAAACGGTACGTACGATGGAGCATGTGTTTGTGATGCAAAACGTGGCATTACACAACGCTGCCACAACAAGAATGAAGAAGCGCGAGCTAACCCGATAATTCGAATTAATTTTAAATATTAAATATATATTAAGTTTAAATTAAATTTTAAATAAAAATTAAATCGAATTAAATTATATATTTTTAATTTATATATATTTTTAATTTTATAAAATAAAAATAATAATTTTATATTAAATTTTATTTAAATATATTAAAATTTTATATTAAAATAATATACAAATATTAAAAAATTAAAAATTAAAAATCGATAAATCAAATATAACATAATTGATAAAATTTAATTCAGTTCTGGGATCGAAACAAATTTTAGTTTAAATTTTAATTAAATTTTAAATTTTTATAATATTATATAATATATAAAAAAATTAAATTGAATTTAATTCAAAATCACTTATTACTAGCCAAGTTGTTTCCACTGTTTCAAACTGCACACCTACCAGAGCTTAAGCTTAAGTCATAAAAATTGCAAATTTTCTATTGAAATTTGCATTATTTCATAGCTCAGGTTTCTGTATGCCATTTCAAACACTAAGAAAGGCAAATTCTTTTGAATTTGTTTTCTTTTAGTATTTCCTTTGTCAATTCAGTTCCAAAATCCAACTTTTCTATTCTGTGACATTGGAAAGTGTAGTCAAGTTTTTTTAGAAAATTTTATTAATAATTACTAGAGAATAATTAACTTGTTATGTATATATATATATATATATATATATAACTAATTTGATTTTTGTAAGTGAAACATAAGTGCAGAGCGTGAAAGCTCATTTACCGTGGATGAAGCGAGAAGGAAGGC